TTTTTTTTTTTTTTTTACATCAAAATTTTTAATTTACAGAATGGACGGTCTCTATTGTTTGTGAAACGATCAAAATTCTTTTTGATATAAGACTTTTCAAAATTATTCAAAAATTGGTCCAGACTTAATTACTAAATTATAAGCAAATTATTATCCATAAACAATTAATTAAGCTTCGATTTAACATTTTTGCATATCAATCTTTGTATTTATCTCAATCGGATCACGAGTCACAAACGAATTAAATTCCTCGCACAAAACAATTTAACTACGCACGAAAAAAGAGAACGATCAAGACGATCACGTCTATTTAACCATCAACCGACTCGGCTGACATCGTTAACGCCTATCTATTTCTCGTCGTTCGGGGAAATCCGAAGCAGGAACTTAATGGAAAACTGTTGGAAATTCGTTGGAAATTTGCCCGTGGCTGATCGATTTCGCGGAAAACTTTCGAATCCATTTTCCTCGGATCGGCATTAGATAAACGTAGAAACATCTGCGCGGAACAACGCAGAGACGGAATTTAGAGGGGCCAACCGATTACCCGTTTACGAGTCGAGCCGGGTTGATAGCGGCTTAACTCGATCCTCTCTCGCTTCGTCTGCCCCGCTAACGAAACTGGATCGAATGGCCGGCCGTGTTTGCCGTCCCTGAAACACCGGCTGGACCCAGTCAAACACCCTCTCTGTCCACATCCCTCTATGAAGCAAACTTGGTCAAACTCTACTTACATACTCCTTCAAGTTCATCTTTTTTTTTTTAATTTTAATTTTGGCAATTTTATTCTATTTTATTTCGGCACGATTCAGAGATGGGGAAAATTTTAACGGTTGAAGTCAAGAATAAAGTTACTTCGATAAGTTGCTCGAATAATTTATTACTCGAGGCATCGAATAATCGGAGATAAATGGTGAATGGTCGAGCTTATGCGAACAGTTAAAGCTAAATGTTATTTAAATATTTTAATAAGTAATTGTATTTGAAATAACTTAAAGTAACTTTATTCGAAATTTTTAACTAGTTTGAATTTAAAGTTAATGCTCAATTCTGGTGTCAAAGAATGAAACGTTTTGAGGTTAGAATATTAACTTTTTGATTTTTAAATCGTTTTTTTTTTAGTATCGTTTTATCGTTAACGGTTGTTTCAACGGTTATTTCGTTTCGATCCGATAAAATAGCGAAAATAGTTTCAATGGATGGATCAATTTGAGATTAGTTTTTATATTACTTTTCAAGGAAAAATTACGGGATTATTGAAAGAATACGGTTACAAAGTATCGATAGATAATCTTTAAATAATTAAACTGACCGACAAATCGCCGCCGTAAAATGGATGAATGACAAATGTCTCGTTGCCTAAATGAATGACACCGCTGACACCGTTACACGTGTGAAAAGCAGCGCTAGCTCCTGGATAATCCCTCACGGTACCGTGATAGTAACAGTGCTCTATCTCCTGTAATCATTCAATCGGGAAATTCAGTGAGTTCAGTTTTGTTTATTCAATCGATGCAATGGAAAAAATGTTCAAAGAAAAAAATACACGCACGCGATATCCATTATTCAAATATTCCATTATAATATAGTGAATTTAAGGAAATAGACTGTGAAAAGTTTATGTCACCTGTTTAGAAGTTTGTTCCGCACCGACGGTTAAAAAGTCTTTTTGCACAAGATTCGGAGCTAAAAGTTGCCTGCAACACGCGCAACGATACTCTTTGTACTATTTATCGTCTCGTTTCGTTGGTGAAATTCGATTGGAAGACTGAAGGTGTATACACACTTACGTATTTAATTCTAAATCTAGGCGAAATTTATGATTAAAGGCCTTGATCAAGAGGGACGTCCGATGAAAATGTCTCCCCGTCTGAAAATCAAAGAAAACTTGTCTCGTTAAACGTATCGAAAACTTGCCTTGTTAATCGCTTTCTTACGAACTTCCGTATACTTACTCTCATTCTGCCTTTAACATTCTGATATCCACCCTCTCCGTATCCTCTTTGAGGAAACTGAAAAGTGACAAGGTTTCGATGTTATAATAAAATAATAAAATATCGATCGATATCGATAGTCGAAAAGTTCGACAGATCTTCGTCGAAAAGAGACTATCGATCGATATCGAATCTATAAAAGAATTCAAAAAGTTTCAAATAAAATATATCAATCTATATTTATAAAATATCTATAAAAAAAAATTCGGTTTTTCGGATGGTTTTTAATCGTTACAAAATTTCATTATAAAAATATATCGATCGATATATCGATTCTATAAAGAATGTTCGATATGGTTTGTTCAAAAGGTGATAAAATTTCAATGTTATAAATTTTATCGATTCTCGATAAAAAAAATTCGATAGGCTTTCAATCGTTGCAAAGTTTCTCTATTACAAAATATATCGATCGATATATCGATTCTATAAAGAAAATTCGATAGGCTTTCAATCGTTGCAAAGTTTCTCTATTACAAAATATATCGATCGATATATTTTGTAATAGAGAAACTTTGCAACGATTGAAAGCCTATCGAATTTTCTTTTTAGAATCGATATATCGATCGATATATCGCTTCTATAAAGAATGTTCGATATGGTTTGTTCAAAAGGTGATAAAATTTCAATGTTATAAATTTTATCGATGCTCGATAAAAACAAAATTCGATAACCTTTCAATCGTTTCAAAATTTCTCTTATACAAAAAATAACGGACGATATATCGATTCTATACAGAAAATTCGATAGGCTTTCAATCGTTGCAAAGTTTCTCTATTACAAAATATATCGATCGATATATCGATTCTATAAAGAATATTCGATAGGATTTGTCAAAAGGTGACAAAATTTCAATGTTATAAATTTTATCGATTCTCGATAAAAACAAAATTCGATAACCTTTCAATCGTTGCAAAGTTTCTCTATTACAAAATATATCGATCGATATATCGATTCTATAAAGAATATTCGATAGGATTTGTCAAAAGGTGACAAAATTTCAATGTTATAAATTTTATCGATTCTCGATAAAAACAAAATTCGATAACCTTTCAATCGTTGCAAAGTTTCTCTATTACAAAATATATCGATCGATATATCGATTCTATAAAGAAAATTCGATAGGCTTTCGATTGTCAAAAAGTAACAAAGTTCATAACAAAACCTTCGAATCGTCAAAAAGTGGCAAAGTTTCGATGTTGTAAAGTTTATCGATTCTCGATAAAAAAAAAATATTCGATAGGCTTTCGATCGTGAGAAAGTAACAAAGTTTCGACATCATAAAATATATCAATTTTCGATAGACTTTCGATCGATATCGTTCGGAGGAAAAGTTTAATTACCTTGGATACGCTCACTTCTCTTGTGGATATCCCCATTTTCTCGTGATGCCGTAACTGTACTGGATAGATGATCTGATAGTAATGGGCCCCGATATTTTGTACTAGCTCTTGGTTTTGTCGATACTCTTGTAGTAATCGTTCGGCCTCACCTGGAATCAATTATCCCTCCAGTTTCAATCGAACATCCCAGTTCAATTCTTTTTAATTTTATCTCCGTCTTGACTCATTGTCGTCTGTGTTTCGTCTGTGTTTTCGTAAGAAAAAATTAAGATGATAAATACGATGAAAGCGATATGATATTTTGAAATCATTTATAAATTAAATTCTATATATTTTTCGAATAAAGAAATAATTACATAAAAAAGGATATACTTCATTGATTTCGATGATTTTTATATACGTTAATAAAGGATAAGATATTAACAAAAATGAATTTTTTTTTTGAAATAAAATAATAATATATCGATATAATTTCATTTTCTATAATATTTAAAAATCATTGAAATCGGTGATCGAAGTTTTTTTCTACATAATTATCAAAGAATTATATCTTTCACTTATTTCCGTTCGTAAAATAAAATCTTCCGATTATTCATTCTTCCCGATTCTATATAATTATAAAAATACTTTCATCTCCTACGCTATTTAATTTTTTTCCAAAAAATCCTTACGACTTGACCCAATTACTCGCAAGCCCCCTACGCGAAAAAATCCAACAAACGCGAGTCTCTCGATCTTTAAAAAAAAAAAATCCTCTCTTTGAAAATCGTTTAGCATGCAACATGCCTGTCTTTGCACGAAGTGAATAAGCGAGATTCCATCGCGAGTTAACCCTCGTCGAAATCGAGAACCGGGCGTAATTAGCGGTGTCTGATTAAACCGAGCGTGTTCTCCTTCGTTCTCTCTTTTCACCGTGTCGTAAACTGTTGCGCGGCAGTGCTATACGAATGAGTCGAGATAATCAGTGGAGGGCCTCCTCGAAGCATGTAGTATCTAGTTTACCCTCTTATCGACTGTCCGGGGCTTTGCCCGATTTAACCCGACCCATTCAAAATGAAGTGTATGGATAATTACTTGTCACGCTTCCCCCCTCTCCTTTCCCCCACCCTTTTGAACACGTAGACGTCGTTCTAATGAATTATTACGCGCGCTGTCGCGCGATTACCGACAGAGCAACTAATTACCATGCCACTCGAATCGAGGGGAACTCGATTGCACCTATTGGATTTTTTTTTCATTCGAACCATTAAAATTATTCGGCGATCGTCTACTTTTTCGCAGTCACTATTGTACGATGGATTGAATGAAAGCTGATCCTTCTTTCTAGATTTGTTCTATCGCGAAATATTTTGGTATAAGTAGTGTATGGCAGGTGGCGTGTGCATAAAAATGGCGGAACTTGGAATCCTGCAAATGTTTGTTTACAATCGATGTGTATAAGAAAATTATTATTTGTTTCGATTCATTGTGATATTCGTATATCGATTGATTTGTTTTCAATGTGCGGGTCATTGACCATCATTTCGTGGAAAAATTCAAAAATATCGAAGAGGGAAATATTTTTTTATCTAAAATGCCGGAATGTCGAGTTTGCAAAACGGATGTTTTATTGTTTAATGTGTAATATATATATTTGTATAACGTGCGAATTAGACGCTTCGGTTCAGGCTTTACAGATAAGCATGTATATCGTTCGTGCTACAGGTGGAAGCGATATAGAAAGGTTCAGAAGTCAATCAGTGAAAGTTTCATTTTTCTGAAATTGATTTGATACGTACATTCAAAAATTTCTAATATTTTAAATTTAATTAATGTCAATTAAGTAGCAAATATTTCGTATTTCGTATTTTTAAAATGCGTGACTGACACTGATTGATTTGTGAAATTCATAGTCGATGGAAGCGATATAGTGAAATCGTAAAATCGATTACACGTTTAAAATTTATATATTCGAAGACAAGTATCCTTTGAGTTATATCAATTAACATTTTAATATTTATAATTTTATATATCCATAATATAATAATTCCGAAAGTCTAATTCTGAATTGATTGAATTAATTCTGAATTGACTGAATTAATTCTGAACAGTCTTAAAATATTTCATCTTACATATTTCGATTGTGAACGGTTCGATCAATTTTACGATCTCGCGTAAATGTATATACGTTTGAATACTTTCATCTATTCTGCCAGACTTTGTAACGTGTTTGAAGTAATATCTCGAATCAAAAATGACTCGAAGGTTCAAAATTTTTAATTTTCGTTATTTAACAGGTTCAAATACACACGTTTTAATTAGCAAATATCAAACTAAGTTAAATTAGGTAAGATGACTGGGTCGAACCATTGGATCATTAGAATTAGTGCGATAAATCGATATTTACGAATTACACGTATGATACACGTGACATAAAATGTAAGCGTTGTGAAAATACGTCGCGTTTAAACGAAACTTACGACCTGAATGAACGCCGTCCGAGAAGAGGAGATAACTGTGGCGATAACAGTTATGCTAATCTTGACTGGTTGACCCGTAAAGCCGCGTAATGTTCCTTGCAAATGCAGCCCCAGGAAAAGCCCCATTGTCTCTGATAAAATTCAATTAAACTTATTATATGAATATGGATGCGAAACCACCCACCCTGCTTATTTTCCGTTTCGAATACATACCGTAAATTGGGAACACTGGTAATGGATAATATTGACGTAAATGTGGAGATTATATTTAAAATTGTGAATTGACAAATAGATTTTAATCGAGATGTAGAAATATTATTCTTGATATAAAATGTTGGAAGTTATTATAAATTTGTTTGAATAATAACACATAGTAAAAAAAATATGCTAGATATTTATAATAACGAAATAAATATATGGAAATGTTCTATAAAAATACATTTGAGAATGAAACTGTCGAGAAATTATTCTCAATTTTTAAAAATAATTCCAAATAGAGAAAATCTCAAATGTGTCTTAGTCTAAATTCGAAACAAATTTTATATAACTTCGATACGAAAAAATAGAAAAATATAAATTGGAAAAAATTTCAATTATATCAACAATGCATCCAACATTTTTATATTCATTCATTAATTTTATATTAAAATTTTTATAATTATTTCTTAATAATTTGTATATTTTAATAGTTAAAAAAAATTTATCTACTGCAAGAAACCAAAAATATCCAGAACTAACTATGCGCGTATAAAATCTTGTAAACGAGAGGTCATGTACAGCTTTCCACTGTAAAGTTCAATTAAAGGTGGGTTAAAGACGAGATAGATGCTGTATTTTTTTTTTAGAACCGGTATTTACGAGCATGAATCCTCTGCACAATTTTCGATCTCTATTTACTGCGGTTTTCAGGAGGAAATCGAAGGAACCATACGTATATTTTGAGTGCAAACTGTCAAACATAGTTCTACAAAAATACTTAAGTCCTTATACCCAATCTCTCTACGTCTAAGTTTCGTTCGTTAAATCCCTCTTACTCGAACTTACTTCGACAAGACGAAACCTCTATAACTCGAGGATTTTACCTCCCTCCCCTTTTTAACTTCGATATCCGAGCTACCGTGGTTCAATCGTACGATTATTAAAATTTATCGATTGTTAAAACTATATAATTCCTATGTTGATAGATTGTCGATAGTTTTAGGAATCCTGACGAAAAATTTGAATTGACGCCTATTTTGAATTTTTATGAAAAATTGTGAAAAAAAAAATCTGGTGAAAAAATTGCCTATTCTATAGATTTTATTTTTCATTTTATTATACCGTCAAAATAAGAGATAGAAAAAAGTAAAAAATTAGAAATAAAAATAATAGATAGAAAGTTTAAGTTAGAGATAGAAGTATACATAAATGAACGTATATTTTGAATAGATCTCTCGATGGTCGAAAAGTTTCCTAGTGAAAACAGGCTGGTCGTGTATTTAAGGTACTTTTGTTCTATTTTATTTATTTATTTTTTTTTTTTTAAAGAACGGTTGCCAGAAAGTTTGAAAGGGTTGACGAATCGGACGATAGTCGCGACAAAGCCAAGGGAGCAGATTCGTAAATTGAATTTCCAGAAATGGTCCGTTCAGCTGAGATTACCGACCGATTAAGTTGGCTACGTTCATGGGTTTGTCGAGTGTCACGTTGACAGGTCGTTTATTGTGTCGGTTTCCCTAGAAATTTCGTGTGTAACAATTACTTGTATAGTTCGTGTATAACATTTTCGTATTGTCGATTTAGCAATACAATTTGTGCAAAAATAAACTGAAAATTGACTACTTGGTATAATTTATGATATAAAATAGAATAAAATGAAAATTTTTAACACAGAGTTTAATGATTCGTCTATATTTCGAGAAATATTATGAAACTTAAATAAATCTGATTTTATACTTTTTTAGTTTCGATTTCAATTAATTACACGATATATCATAACATTCGAAAGTTCTAAAGAAATATAATTTCTCACGAGAGATAACCTCATACCGTAAAAAAGGTTAAGTGACTTAGGTTAAGTTTCATTATTCTTATTAATAACAAGAAACATTGAAACAATTCTCGTCCAACAATTTACAACTAACAATATTATCAATCTAATCAACTTATAATAAGTTACAAAATTTTCTCTCACAAATTAATAATTTTACATTGAACAAGACTCGTAATTCCTCAAATATAATATACCTTTTAAAATTAAATTTATCACCACATTTAAAAGCAATTTACTTACTTTTTTAAAAACGCCACCGTAATAATTATTACTCTGTTCGTGCAAAATCGTCCCTAGAGAGGTTCAATCCCCAGAAAACTATATAAATACCGTTCCAAGATCCCGGTGAGCCGGTGTCCGTGCGTCAATTTACTCGATGCCGTAATTTAAAGTCCTCGTCGTGTCCTGGCGTCTAGTGCAGAGAGGGCGCTGTACTCAGAGGCACGAATTGCGGTTAATTCGAACGACATGACAGGTTATTACATGCCGGTTGTGCGCCGGTGACGAAATTCACGGTGGATTTACTTTTCGACCTGGAACATCTGACTATCTATACTCGGTCAGATACACGTGTAATTAAACACTAGTATGAATATTAATTTCCCTCCCTGTGGTGTATGTGCGCGTCACGCTTTGTAATTCAGATCTCGGTATTTTTTTTTTCCACCTGGAACGTTCCAGGGAACACGAACACTGGTGAAACGAAAGGAAACGCGTCGCCTCGTTAAACGAAAGAAATCCGCGCGGAAATACAAACGGATACGGAATTCTCCTCTTCTCGATTCCCGAGATTTAAGAGATTTTCACGGTTGCATGATCGGGAGACGATTTATATACCTCTCGGTCGCGGCCATTTTATACTTCGATGCATTGTCCCCTCGTCTAAAATTTAACCCAATTTAAGTTTCGTGTTCCCAGCCAATCACCGCTGTTGACTTAACAATAAACCATTCCACGCGTCCGGAGAAACTGGATGTAACCGCAGATCGAGTTTCCAAGGGAAGTGCTGCAATGCGGTCTACCCCCGCTGTTCCTTTGCGTACATTTCATCTGTGATTCGAAGGAAATCTGTGCGTTCATTGTTCCCGGTTCCCGGTTCTTCGATACGAACTTTCTATTGGACGAGTTTTTTTTTTTTTTTTTTTTTTTTTTTTTTTTAGAAAAAGATTCATTGTGAAATCTGATTTCGCAAAAAGTCGAATCGAAATTTTTGAAACGTGAAATATTTTTTTCCCTCTCTTTTTTATTATTTCGTTTAAGGAGATTGAGAAATTTTGATTTGTGAAATTGTTCAAATTTAGGTTTATATATAATAATATATAGTTATCTTATTAAAATTTTGTTTTGTCGTAAAGTATCGTAAGGCGTGGATATATTTCGGAATAAAATTTTTTCATTTTTTTTGTTTTTATTTTAATTTGCAAAATATGGATATTGCGTTAAGAGACTGCAAACTTTCATTCTCAGTTCCCATTAATGAGAAATAACTTTCGAAAGCAATTCTCCCGAGTTTTACTCTTAAATGTATCCTGAATATGTCCAAAGTCTAAGTGAAAAACTCATTTATTTATACTTATTATTATTTATCGTATTTGAGAATTTCAAATCTTTAAATAAATAACAAAAATTTGGATTAGAAATTTCCTGAGTTTTAAAGAATTTAAAAGTTTCGAAATTTCGAATATCTCATCCCTTTCTTCCCCCTTCTTTTTTTCTAAACTCTAATTTATTGAAAAAACATTTCACTGAATTTCGAAATTAGCAAAAAAATCGAATTTCAAAATTTCCCCAGTGTTTCGAAGGATTTTGAAATTTCAAAGTTTCGAGTATCTCGTCCCTTTTTTTTCTTCTTAGGAATTAAAGACAAATTTCTAAAAAAAAAAAAAAATTAAAGAATTTAAAAAAATTAGTTTCAAATCACAAAAAACCCTGCATTTCGAAAAATTAGTCGAGATTTCGAAATTTCGATCGAAGTTTATAAATTTCTTTCTTTCTGAAATCCAGACGGATAAAATTCATCTGTCGAGGAAGGATGGATTAATGAAACGCGAGCGAATTCGCGTGACTGATAACGCTTTGCCTCGTGATAAAGTTAACCGGGGACAGAGTCGAGAGATACGTCGACGCGTTTCTCCTCTCGCCGCGATAACATTGATTCGAATATCCTGTTCGTTGCGCGATTAATATCTCGCCTCTTATTCGGGACACGCGTTGAATTTTCTACGCCGGCGAGGCGTGCGCTTGTTCCCTTTGAAGGGAACAACCGACTTTGACTACGACTTCCTATGCATTGTGTATTTACGCGATCGTCTCGTAACTTTGACGTGCCCCCTTTGTAATCTGCGGTAAAGGGGAACGCAACACGGAAGAATGGAAGAAGACATCATCGATCAGGCCTTTCTAATTATCGGCGATCTTGCCTCTTGCACGAGATTAACGTGACACCATCGATTGTTATTGAATTAAATACACGAATTACGAGTAATCTCTTGCACGAGATTAACGTGACATCATCGATTGTTATTGAATTAAATACACGAGTAATTCAATGATTGATAACTTAAAATTTCCATATATTGGATTTATAAAAAAAATTAGGTGTATTCTTATACACGAGTTGAAGAAGTTTTCTCTAAAATTGTAATTTTTTTTATCTATTAATGATATCTATTAATAATTTAAAATACCTCGATAATAACGTCAATTCAAGAGAAAATTGTGGAGAATATTATGTAATATTATAGTCAGTTTGGTGAGTTTCTCAAAAAATTTCACGAGAATTATGAAAAATTTCGACGATTTCATTAAACAGTTTTGCAATCTTGATTTTTGAGTACTTTAAAATATAAACTATAATATAGAGCAAAAATTTAAATTGTCCAATAACTTCATATATTTTTTTCATTTCAATAGGAATGATTCAGAAAAAAGAAAATTTAAATATCAATAAAATATCATTTTTAAATAATCCGAATTATCGAAAGAACATTCGAGTTTTCGTTCAAACACTTACCAACGGAAGTTTCTTCGTTCCAGAAGGAATCATCTAAAGTGTAGTCTGCTTCTGTAACAAAAGAAAAAAAAAAAAACCTATTAATTTATATACAAATACACGTAATACATAAATATCGTGCAAATATTTGAATTTGCAAAATAGAAATAAGGATGAGAATGAAATTGGTACATTCGTTTCACATTTCTAAATTCGAAAGGAGAATTCCTATGGGAAGCACTGTAACGAAACCAAGTTGTGCCCCAAAGGAATTTTGGACGGGTTGCCAGGAGAATTTTCCACGAGGGAGCAAACTTTTCCAAAAGTTTCGAGATTACATGAGGGAGAAGGAACATAGTGGTGAACATTGCTACAAAAATTGCGAGGCTATCGAGACTTGTATTATCGAAAAAACGCTCATTTTATGTCTCAGTTACAACGTTTTATTATTATTTTTCGCTCTCTGATGAGTTAGATTATTTTTTATGAATCAAGTCGATAATTATCAAAAATTGTACTTTGAATCTTCTGATTTGAATTAATTTTGCACAAACGTTGATTCTATTCGTAAATTTTTGTTATTGTTTCTATTATTATTAATCCCTTGTTTCACAATTTAATCAAGAGACTTTAAGGAGTTTAAACTAAAAAAATTTCATGTACGAATTAGTCAAAATTATCAATATAAATATAAATCAAAATCAATATAAATAAAATTTGCGATGGTAGCTTTCAAAATTATATAATATTTCAATTAGATACTAAAAATAATGAGATTTCATTATAAGAGATTAATTATACATAATTTATAGTTATAGATTTATAATTTAAAATGAGTTCCAAATCAATAATTCATAACTTAATAATAATTAATCTAAAATTTAACATAGTACATGACATACTATAATTTTAACAATCAAATATTGAAATATTTTTTTTCTGTTTCAATATTTTTATTTCAATGCTCTTTGTTATATTTGAAACTGTAAATTAATAAATTTTATATAGTAAAGTTATTGATTTAGTTTTCTAAAATGTATAAATGTTATTCGCATATAAAATAAAATTGCATATTCGTATTCTATGAGATATTTGATCTTTTATAGATGGAACAAGAAGTCTCGATATAGTTGCAAAAACAAGTGAAAAGCATGCACGATATAAAGGACAACGGTACCATTAGTTCAGGAGGTTGCAGTGAGTTCAACAGTTTGGTAAATCGGTCGTAAGCAAAAAGCGGCGATGCCATTCCGAAATCGTTCCATTTTATCGGAAAACTTCTTAATCTTTTTACCCAACCGAATGATATAAAACGAAACTTCGATACCTACGGCATTATCGAACGTTAATACCTATTTCCAATCGAGCCGTGTAAACATCCTATCGGCCATGGATTTGTTCGATCGTATATTCCAATATTTATATACTTCGTTGTGTATCTTTTTTACGAGCTATCAGATTTTTCACACCCGTGTTCTATCTTGCTTTTTGCCAAACACGGCAGAATCGAGAAATTTTTATTCTCGAATTCTATTTAGGAAAAAAGAATAATTCCATTGGAAGAATATTTTTTGATGAGGATACTAAAATCGATCGAAATCCGAAAACAATTCTAAATCTCGGTTTAAATCTCGACAGAATGAAATGATGCTGAACGCAGCATCGCAAACCATTTCGTGAACGCCATTTTCCAAGTTGGTTCCCTCTCTTCTCATAAACCGTCACGTTCCGCTGTACCTAGCAATCAGTGACGGTCACGCCTCGTCGATTTTCTCATTCTCTCTCTCTTTCCGTATAACTATTCACCACCAGTCCGCGTTTAACACATTCGATGAGTCCGCCATGTCTGCGAAACGTTGCGCGGATCCTTGTCGGTAAACGAGCCCGTGAACCGTTACGACGATAGATTCCTATCCTCTGATAATCTCGGCTATTTCTCGACTCGTTTCATCACGAAGACTCGATTTTTGTGCTCCTTAACCTTTTATCCGACCATCGTTGACGATCGAACCGGGCAGAATCAGAGGACTATGGAGAAAGAAGCGAAGTTGAGGTTAGGAAGGAAGGAAATGGAGGTGGGTGGATCGAGGAAACGCAAGAGAACGCAAAAGGCGCGGAGAAATCGTGGCGAATACACGTGTCTGTATCCAGTGGAAAGATATACGAGTCAGGATAGGGAATGGAGAGGGGAGGTAGGGACGAAACTTTTCTCCGAAGTTTCATTAAAGCCCGCGAAACTTTTTCATCTCCGTACCCATCCCGAGGTTTCATAAAATTCATAAAATGGACGGCGTGCAGATAAAAAGACTCGGTTTCCAGTGGCCTAGTTCCTCGTAGTATACGAAAAATAACCCCGAGGCGAAGAGGGCCTCGAATAGATGATAGTCAATGACGGTATTTCTATAGGGACTTGCCCGTGGCGAGACTTTCAGGTAGGTATGCGGGTAGAGAAATTCTGCCGGGGGTAATCGACACGCTTGAAATTACTTCTGTTTCCTGTCTTCACCCTTCTTTAATAACTAATCGCTCAGTTATCGTACATTCCCCTCAGTACGCGCATCTCTCTTCCTGAAATATTCCCAGTTATGTGACTATAATGATATGTCTCTGGACCGACTCGTATTCGATACTCGTAACTGTGGTCGTATGTTAGTAAAAACGTGCGTTAATAGAAACTAACTCTTTGAAATATGTTGGAAAAATTTGAATGGGATGGAGCGAAATTTCAATACTCTCGTATTGCTTGGGATTCGAAGAATTTTTCGAGGTGCAGCTTCGTATCAATTCGGCAATAATCGGACGTGATCGGTTCAATTCGTGTTCCTTTAGCCGATTGTGTCCGATTATTGTCGAATAAATCCGAAGTTAGTCAATTCAGTTTCATGTACTTAGTTTATATTTATATTAGATTTTGGAATGCAAGAAACTGCAAGTTTCAAAATATCCTTCTCGATTTTCGTCGAAACAACATTTTAACTATTAAACGATAGAAAATGCGTTCGGTTATCCGGATAATTGTTACAAACGGAAGCATGATCAATCGAATTCGTATCGAATCGGAAATTTGCAAAGGTAATGATTTCTGTTAAAGCTGTACTCAATTGACTTTCTCTTCGAGTAAATTAAATCTTAATTCTATCGAGCTAGTGTACAATGGAAAATCGTAAACTAGTGGAATTGAATTCTTCGGTGTCTCGCCACTGTCTAAAATATCGCTGACAACGAATATAAACGTAAACGCTTGTGAATATTTCTCATTTCGCGCCTTAGAAAATCTCATTCCGCTACCGATATTCGACCATTATTTGACCTGTTCCATTTACGATTTCGAACAGTAGTCGCGTTACAATTGTTCTATAATCAGTTTCATTGACCGGGCCAGGCTTTTCTTAATGACGTTGGCAAACTTCGTTGGCTGTTGGAGCGAAACACGTTTAGAACGTATTATGTTGTTGACTAACAGGACCATGGCATAATGTTCGCACAGTGAAATTAAACGGTTCAGAAACTTCTGTAATCTGCCACGTAAACCTTCTCAGTAGTGGGGTTAATGGGAGAATGTTGAAAGATTTACGAAAGTTGAATTTCTTGTTCTGAAATTCATAGAAACTTTGCTTTTTCATAATGGTTCCTAGTTTTCTATGATTTTAAT